ACCACCACCACCACCACCCGCCGCCGCCGCCGCCGCCGCCGCCACCACCACCACCACCAGCAGCAGCAGCAGCAGCAGCAGCGGCGAAGACGACGAGGATGATAAAAGAACAGGAGGAGCAGGAGGTAGTGGCAGTTGTAGTAGATTTTGTAGTAGCAGCCTGCAGCAGCAGTCGTAGTAGTGGCAACAGTAGCAGCGGTAGCAGCAGCTGCTGCTGCATCTGCCGCCACAGCTATGCATGCCTCCTGGCCTTTGCTGGTGATACTTTCAATTTTCCGCCACATCCACGCAGAAGCAAGCACGCAGTTGGACCAGAATCATTGCTTTCTCTAAAGTTCATTCTTGAAGGGCATGCGGGGAATGACAGTTTTCTCATTTGGTGTAGGTTTATGTCTTGACCGGACAATGTCAGCAAATGTGTTGACTGGTCACATCGCGGAAGAATGAACGCAACTACAATTCTTTTGTAGAGATGTGTTGCAAACAGGTGATCTCAGCAAATGCATGGAGAATAGTCCTGCGACGCGGTTCTCTACTGCTACCGTCTCCCTGTTGTTATGGGGGTTCTTTTGGAGCATTGAATCAGCAAAATATGCTAGATGCTGGGGAAGACTTTCAGCTTTCACAATATGTGGAATGTGCCCTATCTTCCGCACTCCTCACCTGGCCCTCCAATCACTTGCAAGTCCGCGAAAAGTTAAACAAGCTGACGAAGTACGGGGCACCTGCGGCAGTTGCCACCTCCTGAGGGTACAGTGTGCTCTTGATGCTACTCCTGCTGCAACTACTTTGGTCACCACCGAATAATGCCGTAAGATGCTTCTGTATCCAGATGATACTGCTGTAACAAGTTTTGCCTCGAAGCGATATCCTGTGCTAACTTTGAGTCCTGCAGGTGCCGGAGGTTGACAAGAACAGCACTGGAGCCCATGCCAACAACGAGACCGAAGCAGCCACCACCAGCAACGCAACTGACTCGGAGGCTGCATGACGTTGTTTTTGATGGGGGCACGCATTCGTGCCACTGCTACCATGGCAGCTGCTGCATTACGACTCGCATGATCAAGTTTTGGAAGTTTGCAAGCTGACCAAAAGGCTTGATGCGCTTTGGCTGTCGTGTCAGGTGAGTGCAGATGCAGACAATGCGACCTCTAACGCAACAGAGAACACGACCAAGGTAGTTGAGGCCAGCTTTTGCCGTTTGCATATACCAAGATTTGAAGTCAAAATGGGGAATGTCAGGTTGACATGTGTAACAGTCATAGTGAAAGACACTTGTCGCTGCCAAGAAGCTGTTTCCTGCAGACCTTCTGAGGGAACATAGCAGACTCGGATCAAATCTTACTCCTTGGAGATCCGAACATGTCCACGAGTACTCAGGGCAAGACATTTCGGAGCTGTAAGGAGCACAATCCCAAGACTAGACAGGTTTCGCCAAGTTGCCAGTCCCATTTAGCAGCAGCAGCAGCAGCAGCAGCAGCAGCCTAAGCAGCAGCCTAACTAGCCTAAGCAGCCTAAGCAGCAGCAGCGGAAGGAGCAGCAGCAGCAGCAGGCCCGTGGCGCAGTCCTGAGTCGAAGCCGGAAACCTGAAAACAGATCCCTTGCATGTTTGCAAGTTGAAAGTCCCACTAAAAAAACGCAGAACGTTTAGTGCCAGTCTGTGGGTCTTGTGGCTGACCTGGTCAGCATCACAGCCAGTCCTGATCTTTTGCAGGACAAATCAAACTGTGCCGAACCGTTTGCGCAATGCGGTGGTTCTGATCTCAGTGATGGCAAAACCTTGTCGTTGAAGGTGCCAGCTCAGAAGATGTAAGGTGAGGATTGGAAGGGCCCAAAATGCTGCAAAGGAGACTATGTTTGCCATGAGGCGCCGGGCTTGCTCAGCAGCGAGCGTGAGAATTGACATGTTGCTATTTCCATACAGGTCAATGCCTACTATGCGAGTTGCAAGACCTTGGAGGTCAGCATGCCTTGACTGGCTGCTGTGCATGACATTAGCCAATGCCTCTCCAGTGGAGCACATTTACATGGGCAATCCCGCGCAGGAGCTCGAGCTAGAGGACACCACAACAACGCGGCTGGGATATAATAAAGAATCCTTCAAGGCCATTCTTCGCAAGCATGTCTTCGACTGCTGACGCGAGACAAGGACAACTACAACGACAAATGCTGACCCACAGACGCTTGGTGGAAGAATCCCTTGCTGCATCCGAGTTGTCGATTCCCTAACCATTTGGGCCAGAACGATGAAGTGAGTATTGCATCGCTCCTTTCCTTCTTTCATGCACAACCCCAGCTGCAACTTGGACTACAGTTGTTTACAAAAGCAGCACAACACCAACATTCACACCAGAAACAGCAGCAACAACAACAACAACAACGACCAC